TTAGCGACCATGTAGTCACGCTCCTGGTGGCCCCTGCACCACGGACTCAGCCCTTTGTGAGTCAGTGTTTCTGTTGTCTGGTTTCAGGAAGTAGTTTGCCAGACCTTTCTTCCTAGTTTAGCTTAACCTGGAAGCCCGTGAAACTGTCAGCATGATACCTGTCCAGTCCATGCTGATGCATCGCAACCCTGTAGGACAGCAGAACTGGCCATAGGGTGGTCATGGCTGTCACCCTCCCTGCAGCAGCTTGTCTCATCCTCCCAGGGAGCAGCTGGTGGATTCGTGTTGTTGTTGCGTGTCTTTATTGACTGTGCAAAGACGTTCGACTGGGTTAGGTGCCCATGAGCTGGTTCCTAACTAAGGACAGGCCTGCACCCGCCTCCCGTTGTTCCTGTGCTTGAGCCGTGCATCAGTCCATCTCACTGAGGACCCTCCCTCCTCTTCTTCACTGCCCATCTGCTTACCAAGCACGATGTCCTCCTTCTGGAACCGGCCTCCTGATAAGAGGTCCTAAGTCTGTGAGGTGAAGTCTCACCAGACTTGTCTCGAAGGGACTGTATGCTTCTAAGAGAGATTGGTTTGTCACTTTGGCAGTCCGTGTTACTTGCAGAATTCTCCAGCAACAATTAAAAATGCATCTATTCTTCTCGGTCTTCCTTATTTAATGTCCAACTCTCACATACATATGAGGCAGTTGAAAATGCCATGGCCTGGGCCACACATCACCACCTTTTTTGATTTAGCAGCCAAATGTATAAGCACTGTGCCACTCACAAAGACTGCTTCCGTCCAGCATTACAACAACCAGCAAATTTCAGTGGCAGATCAGTGGTGCCTGTGCTTACAGCGCATTGGCTGCAAGTCAAAACTGGGTCCCCTACATGGAAGACTAGAATTCGATCACTGAGTCCCATTGCCCCCTGTTGCATCATTAGAGAATGGCAGATTAAAACCCCTACTCACCGACTGTTCAGTTCCTGTAGTTGATTCTGACTCATGTTTACCCCATGTGTGCAAAGCTGAAGAGCTCCACGTGTAACTCCAACCCCCGAAAGGTGGTCATGTACTTCCACATTTCTGTATGAAGAGCTCTCCTCTCCCTGAGAAGGTTGTAATTCTGTGAGTCACTCTGTTGCCCAGCGCCAGCTGTCCCACCCCCCACGAAGACTTTTAGGAGTGGACAGTGTGTCCAAGGAGCCGAAGTGCAGTGGAGTCAACAGTGGGTTGCTAACGGAAAGGTCAGTTACTTAGGACATCTTATCAGGAGAGGCCAGTCCCAGCAGGAGGACATCATGCTTGGTAAGCAGATGGGCGGTGAGGACGCGGTCCTCCAGGGTCTACAAAGCAGAACTGACTCAACGGCAGTGAGGTTTGTTCTTTTTAATTCATCGTTCAGTGCGAGGACAGGTGGTTGCCTGGTGTGGGTGTCAGAAGAGAGATTAAAATGGGAAAAGGGCAATAGATGCAACATTGTGAATGGACTTAATGTCACCACATTGTATATTTACAAATGGTTAAAATGGTAAATTTTATATTTTGTCCATTTTACCATAATTTTAAAAAGTGAAGCATGGAGAAATGACTGGAAATGATGAAAATTTTCATTATCTTGATTGGGGTGATGATTTCATAGGTGTACAATTACATCAAACTCATCACATTGTGTGTTTTAATAAGGGTAGGTTATTGTAGGTCCATTGTACCTCAATAAAACTTTTATTGAGGGTTAGATCATAAGTGTTTTTAAATTGTGTCCCCGCCCCAACAAAATAAGTGTTGGAATCCTAATCCCTAAAAATACAGGAAGTTCCTGGATTAAGAGCATGTTCCATTCCTAAATCTATCTTTAAAACGAATTTGTACATAAGTCAGAACATGCTGGTACAGTTCATATCTAAAGCCAGTTAGTCAAATGTTTGCCTTATTATATAGTATATATAGTAGGAGCCCTGGTGATATAGTGGTTGCAAATTGGGTTTTGATCCCCAGGGTCAGCAGTTCAAAACCACTAGCTGCTCCTCGAGAGAAAGACGCAGTTTTCTACTCCTATAAAGAGTTACAGTCTCAGAAACTCATAGGGGCAGTTCTTCTTACAGGGTCACTATGATTGGAATCAATTGATGGCAGTAAGTTTGGCTTTTGTTTTTTTGTTTTGTTTATTAAAAGATCATTTTATTGGGGGCTCTTACAACTCTTATAAAACCCTTACACCAACCAATTGTA